CCACAATTCGCGTGTGAGGGCGACTTGAGGGCGTGATATAATTATTAATACTACACTACGTATTAGTAGAAGCAAATGGGCACGACTCGGGAGCGGCAGTGTCGTCAGTAGCATTGCCTTTTCCGGACGCTTGATGAGGATCTACGTAAGTAAGCTCGCTCGTGAAGCAAGCCGTACGCTGATTAAGCAAGGCAATGCTTGATCCGGTGGTCGACGTGGACAAGGCACGAGTCGGTACTGTGCCCCGGTGCGCCCGTGAAGGACGATTGAGTGTGAGTTGGCGTGCCCGTGAAGACCGCTAATTCATTCCCGGCGTTAATTCCGGCCGCGCCTCCGGCGTGCAGCGCGGCCCAACTGGCTTCAAGAGTCAGGTGCCTTGCCACGCACTCGATCGTCGTTGGATACCTTGGTCGATCGAGGAAGGATTCAGGGGCAGCTATGGATGCATGCGTGCACGCACGAGAGAGCACAGAGCCGGCTGATTAAGTGAGCTCCACGCCTCCCGTGCCGTTGCGTTAACTACAGTATAGATATAGAGAGCAAGAATCTACTTGATCGCTAATGTGAGTGCTCAAATGAAATGAAAGTAAAACGAGAGAGAGAATACGGTGGCGCGTTTAACATTCGGGCAGGCTGCAGCTGCAATCCCTGCCGTATCCTGAGTCACTGACAGGTAGGCCCCATGCCCATATGTCAATGACTCAAAGGTAGACTAGGCAGCCACGGCAGGGGATCCTCGTCCGAGGAGACAGACAGCGCCCATGGGAATGGGGTGGGAACATGCCATCATTGTGTTTCTTGGATGGGCCGGGCCGCCTTTGGCCCCATCATCATGCTCGCTCGGGGCTTCTCTCTAGCCCCCCACTCGACACGCCATGCATGTCATCACGGTGCAAGTTTGCAGACTCGCTTGTTATGGATAACAGGATAAGATAACAAGCACTCCTATACTGAGACGAGACGGTAGATACTTTTATCGGTCTACATATATATGCCAAATAGCTAGCTCGATGGATGGACCTCGTACGTGACTTGCGGTTCAAGTTGACTTCCTAGCCATGTTCATCATAATGTATGGACGTACGTACGGGCTCGTCTCATGCGAGACAAGATGCACGATCTAATTAAGCAACCCTCTCTCTCTCTCTCGGATAGAACTAGGGGAAGGAACACATGGCCAGGCGTAATCATATTTCTGACCAGTGTAGAGCAGTACTAGTAATATGAAGGGGTAGGGGGAGAAGAAATGGCGGGCCCACGGAAGCCGGCGTCACCGACGGGGTCCCCACCTGCCAGTAAGAAAAGTGAAGCGGAGAGAGACACCCCGTCGTGTTGGATGCTTCGCTGGTGGGATCCACCAACGCTACTCTCCGCCGTCTCGCGTCGCACGTAACAGTAGCACCGCAGGCCCGACCGTACAACGTGGAGCCAGGCGCGCCGATTAGGATTAGCCCGGCCCGCTAACCATCCCGGCATGGCCTCTCGCTGGCACGCCGGGCCCGATCCACCGGGCCATTCCATCGGCGGTGCACGGGGAGGAGAGGAGACGAGACGAGGAAACAGGTGCGGTGCGGCGGGCCAGACGCGGCACGTGTGCGCAGGCCGACACGGCCCGACCCGATCCGACCGGCACCGGCACCGGTCCGGGCACGTGCGTGCGTCGCGCGTCCAGCACAGATTTGCTTCCGTACCGGCACTAGTATCTTCGGCCAGGTACGGCTAGCCGGCCGCCGCCGGCGGCTTTGCTCGCCCGCCGATCTTTGGATGCGTGGGGTTTCTACTAGTACTACTACTACTAGTTTGTTTTCGCCTTTCGTCTCTAGTGTACTACTAGAGTGTTTCTTTAGTCATCGATGAAATGGATTGGTTCGAGCGCTGTGCGTGCTACTAATGACGGTCTGCTCATGGAGCCCAGCGCCGTCCCTCCCTGGGGCCGGACTCCAATACTCGCCTAAACTACCCAGCAGGGAATCCAATCAATTCATCCAGCATAGCAGCACTAGCAGATGAAGAACAAAAATGCACTCCCCTTCCTCTTAGCATGCATGGAACCAATTTCTCAGCAAAATGATGCCCCTGTCTTTGCAAAAATAAAATAAAAAATGCTCGTGCAAGAGCAACTACAATGGAGCGACCCATTTCGTCCGCCGCCGTCCGTTTAGGTCGGCGCGGACAGAAAAGTCAGCCCAACGTGCCGATCCAAACGAACGCGCGTCCGCTTTTCGTCCGCCTGCCGATCCATTCCTGGCCTATTTTTGAGGGCCCCTCTTCGTCCTCCTTTGCTTGTAGAACTGGCGCTAGTTGACGATGTCATGCGGGAAGCGTTCGCGCAACATCGCCATGGCTTCCTTGTCCATCTCGGCGATGGCGAGGCGACGCTGCCGCCTCCGGTTGCCACGACGATCCTCGTCGGTGAAAAGCCGCGGGAGAGGCGCGAGATCCTGCGCCTGCTGGCTGGTTGACACGTAGTACGCGCGGAGCCGCCTCCTCTGCGGTGTCGAAGGTGCCGATACTGAGGTGTTTCTCGCCAAACCAGATCTTGAAGGAGAAGCCGCCGGAGCGGCGCTCGCGGACTCAGCGAAAATCTGAAGCGCCCAGGTGGCGCAGAGGCGGCGAGGCTAGTGAGAGGAGGGGGGGCGAGGCGAGTGGGCGGCGGAAAGAGTGTGGAGGGAGCGCCTTCTTAACGCGCGCCGGACGTGGCACGCCAAAACCAGCGCGCGCTAGTCCGGTTTTTCCCCGCCCGCGCATTCGAGCACCCAAACCAGGGTGACAACCGCTGACATGATCTATGGCCCTGGGCCTTTTTTAAAAGTTGCACGCGGACATGAAATGGGTCGGGGCGTTGGGCACACTGCCGACCCAAATACAAAAAACGGCGAATGCCGGGCGGGCGGGCGATCTAAATGAACAAAAAACGGACAAATGTGTCGTCCGTTTGGGTCGGCCCGTTGGAGTTGCTCTAAGGCCAACTCCACCGCGCGACCCCAAACGGACGTCCATTTTGTCCGGAGTCTGTCTATTTGGGTAGGGCGATGAGGTCGTGTCCGGGCCTGTCCTGGGATGCGGTGGCCGTGCGCCCAGCGCGCGGACGCCATCCCGACCGCATCATGTCCGCGTACATTTTTCTTTGCAAGTCCTTAACTTTTTTTCATCATTCATTTTCGATACATGAAAAATACATCATCACATTTTGGACTAGTAAAGCAAGACCAAAGAAAAAAAGAACAACAAGAATATATTTTAGAAGATACCCAACTTCTATAACTGCTCCCTTGAGTTGGGTTAGGGCCTTCTCGATGCACTCATTGTTGATCTGTGGAGGAGGCTCGATCTGGCATCCTCCTTTCTTCTTCAAGCCAAATGTAGATGTTGCTTCCTCACACCTAGTCTCGTGTCTAGCCTCTAATCTAGCAACAAGTGCACTTGTCTGATCTACAACCTCTGTGCTAGCTAAAAGTGCACGAACGTGTACTAAATTTCGCTCTATCAATATATCGATATACTCTTCTTTCCAATACCAAAATTTACATCCATGCTACACAATAAAAATTGTAATTAGCACAACTGGTTAAAACTAGAGCACAAACCGAAGCTAAAAAGAGCACATACTCCATCATTTAAGCACTTGATGAACACCCATTCGGAATGTTCCGGCGTTGTAGACACGCAGCGCACGGCCATCCTTGGGCAGTGGTCGCATTTAATGAGTGGCAACAGTGCACCGGCGAGCTTTTGGGCAAGCACCGAGCCTGGCCGACCGTCATTCGTGTATCTGCCGGCGGACCGCCGACGGTGCAGATCCGAGCGGCTAGAGGAGGAGCCACTGCCTGCATGTGGCCTTGCCAGGGCCTTCCGGCGAGGTGCCCGGCCAGTTCATGGCGCGGCCCGGCCTCCCACAGCCGAGCGAGCTCAAAACCGCCCGGATCCGCCCCAAATCCGGCCGGCGGGTGCGCAAACCAGGTGGGCGTGGTTGGGTAGCTCGGCGGCGCCGAGGGGAAGGGCTGGGCGAGCACGCGTCCGAACTGCACGGCTGCAATGATAGCGGCGGCGGCGGCGGCTGCGAGGGGAAGAGTGGAGGGGGTGCGGCCGGAGGGAGGACGGGGTGCAGATAGGAAAGGGCCTGCCCTGTGCCACCGACGGACGGGCCAGGGGAGGACACGCGCAGACGGTCCGCACGTGCGCGTGGTGTCCGTTTTATCCCCAAAGCGGTCCAAACTTGGCTGCGGATAGGTTGAAAGCGGACACAAAACGGACAAAAATCCGTTTGCTCCCGCGCGCTGGACCGCCTCGTTTGTCCGTTTTACCGCAAACGGGCAGGGGCGGACATGATAGGATCGCGCGGTGGAGTTGGCCTAATACTCCAGTAGCTGCTGCCGTACGTGTTTGGGATAGCAAGCTGTGTTGATGTGCAATTGTGCATTTGTAGGCAAGGCATGTGATGCGATGCCCGCAATTCCATTCCCATTCCCATTCCCATTGCAAGAAGCAGAGCAGAGCGCCAGTTGTACTACTTGCTTGCCAGTGACTATTGTCAACTGCTCAATCAAACCAGTAGCACTAGAGTAGACTGCACACTTCCCTCAAAAAAAAAGAAAAAAAAAGAGTGCACTGCACACTGCGCGCGCGCGCACACACACTGGATTACCATAAGCAACCGAGCTTAGCTAGCACTGGCCAAATGGAATCACGAGTTAGTTAAACCGATTCCAAAAAAGCACATCACCCCTTCACTCTGCCGTATTCGCACGGAGGCCCTCGCTGAGGCAGGCCTAGGGACCTCCCCACGAAAAGACAGATCTTCAAGGGCAATGCGGTCCTGCTCTGCTCTGCTCCTCGGAGGCCCAAGCGAGGGGAGACCGGGGTATAAATCGGCGCGGTTCTCGAAGCCCCTCTTCTCCGCCCCGCCCCGCCCCAACTTTCTCCCCCTTTCCGCTTTCCCTCCCTCGCGCCCGCCCAAGCTGCTTTCACAGCGAGAGAGCGCGCGCGCGTTGGGGAAGGCAATGGCGGAGCAAGCGGGTGCCAGGAGGAGCTGGGCCGCGCTCGGGGCCGTCTCCCTGCTCGTCCTCCTCATCGTCGCCCTCTCCGGCGGCACCGGCGTCGCGGGGCTCTCCGGCGGCAGCAGGCTCCGGTAATTCCGCCTCCCCTTTGCCCTTCTCCCCCCCTCCCCGTGACGCAATGCGGGTGCGCCGCCCCCGCCGCGAGCGCAGCGGCCAAGCTCTTCCCCCGCGGTGCCGCTCGAGGCTTTTCGTTTCCAAATTTCTCTCTCTCCGGCGCTTGGCCGGCCACGAGGAGGTCGTGGGAGGCGGCCAAGCTCTCGCCTCCTTTTATTTGTTTGGGGTTCTGCTGCTCCGCCGCCTGATTCCGGGCGCCTCCTCTGTTTTTTCTGCAGCTCCGCGTCGACGGCCAAGGTGGTGACCGCGGCGGCGAGCGGCGCCAGGCGGTGGCTGCGGGACTCCACGTCACGGCTTGCGGCCACGACTACAGCGACGGCGGCGAGGTGAGCCGAGCGTGCCTGTCCCCCTTCCCCTCCCCGCCCCCAAAATCGCGTTCCGTTTCGAACGCCCGACGCGACGCATCAGCGCCGTCGCTTCGTCTCGATCCCGCGATCCCCGCCGTCCAATTTCCACTTTTCCTCTCCCCCACCCACCACAAAACAGATCCGGGACACGCACACACGCGCGGCCACACGCCGCCGCCACCAGAATCAACCCGTCTACCCTCCCTCAAATTTCGTAACAGAATTTGAAATCCGGGGCGGGCTGGGCTGGATTTGAGCTGTAACCAACCGTAACCGCAACCGTAACAGAATTTAGCAACGGTAGCTAGCCAGGATTGGATTCCAGCATCAGCAGGGGCAGGGAGGGAGCAGATATTCACCTTTTTGTTTCTGCGAGTAATGAATTATTATTAATCGGGAGGACGGGGTGGTTCGTTACGGTGGCAGGAGGGGCAGTTCGGTAATTAGGTGGGCACTGCACCGGCCACGGTCAAGGCGGTGAAAGACTTTGGAAGAAGCCCAGGAAAGCTGCCCAAAGAAGCCCCGGGTGTCCCCCTCCCTCCCTCCCTGCTACGCGTCCCCATGAACGCACCCCACACAAGCGCTCCTCTGCCACAAATGTGTGTGCCTGCACTTTGGCATAGCTCTACTCTTTCTCGGGTACGCTCCGGCGTGCGCAAAGCCAAGGAGCTGGGCGTCAGTAAAAATTCTTTTCTGATTATTATTTTAAATAAGTAAATGTTTCACCTTTTGGTTTTGGTCCCGCGACCGACCAAACACGCCCACGCCTCCCTCCAGCGGCATGCATTCACGCATGAACGCAACGCACAAGAGAATCATGATGAACGCAACGCAAGAAGATCGTTTCTTCTTCCTGCGTCCTTTTGCTGTTGTTATCGCTCGCATGTGCGCCATGTTCGTACTGCTCGCTTTCGTCCATTGCCTCACCTCACCTGGAATTACGCTGATTATGCAGGGGCGAACGTGCCGACGATGACGCCGACGGTTCCGCGGCGGTGGCGGTGGCGGTGGCTGGCGCGGTGGAGGACCCGGAAGCGGTGGTCTCGCAAGTGCACATGTGCGTCCCTTTCCTCTTTTAATGCTTCTCCTCCCGCCGCTTCCTCAGCCTCATCTACGTTACGCTAAACTGAACCCAACCCGGAGCCAGAAAAGGCAGAAAGCTCAAGTTAGCCAGCAGTAGATCTGCTCTGCACCTTACATTATCTAGTGTTTTACATTAGTCTCTGTCTCAGCAGGATAGGACACACTTTCTTTTTTACCAGTACCAGTAGATAGAAGTAGAGTCTTGTGCTAGCAGAGGTCGGTAGCCTTTTGTCCCCCCCTTTCTTTTCCCCCTTTAATCACAGCCAAAGCCGGACACACACATGGACGGCCCACCGGACAGCCTCACAAAGCCAAGCCAAAGGGAAGACGAAGAAGATCTGATTCGATCGCCGGGGAGCGGTGTACTTTGCCCTGACACGTGGGCTCCGGCCGAGTGAGCAGCAAGGGGGTGTGTGGGGCCCACCTGCCAGGCACACACCCACCACCGTACTCCGTTATTGCGACGTGACCTGCGAGGGAGAGAGGCAGGCGGCAATAACTCTGTTTCATTCTCCTCCTCTTCTTTTGGTCTTCTCCTCCTCCGACCTCTCTCTCTCACCCAGCACAGCACAGGCCACAGTGGTTCACACACTGGCCAGTGCAGTGGAGAGAGTGAGGAGTGTGACACACCACGTTCTCCCTCCTTGATGCCCCCACTCGCATGTGGCCTTGCCTCCTGCGTCCCGTCCCTGCGATTGCCACCATGGCCGCATTGATGGTGCTCACCAGAAACCTTTAGCTTGCTAGCTAGCATCCCCACCCCCACCTAACCGATCTTTTCCCCCATCCTCACTCACTCCCCCCCTTTATTAGTTAGCAGCCACCTTCTGCTTCCTAGAGCTGGTAGCGGCAGGTGATTCATATTCCAGGCACTCTCTTCGTTTTGGTAGTAAAAGTAGAAACTTTTGGAGAATCCAATGGCTGCCAGGAAGAACCATTACTGTTTTTATTAATCATTTGGTGGCAACTGTTGCTAGCTAGAGGCTAGTGAGAGTGGTGACAAGAAACAGTCGGTAGGGCATTACTGGACAATGGATTTATTGGATCACTGTGAATTCGTACCTGAATGAATGACTGAATGTGCCTGTTTTTCAATCATGTTTTGTGCATTGATCATCAGACTGTCACTGTCGTTTTACCTGAATTTTGACGACGATGAGTCGATTAGTTACCTGAAACTGTGAGTAAATCGAGTGACTCTGCTTGTTTGAGTGACTGGCAGGATGGAGCTGTTCTTGTTAATGATTTGGTGACAAGGAACAGCAGGGCATTGTTGGATAAGGAATTAATTGCCTCTGTGATGTCAACTGTAAAATTCGTACCTGATGTTCAGTCATGTTTTGTGCATTGATCATCAGACTGTGCACTGCTGTTCTACCTGAATTTCTGCACCTTTGTGAACTGCAAATCTGTACCAAGTTACCTGAAACTCTGACTGAGTGATGACTCTGCTTGTCTGAATATATGCTCAGGTCGATCAGGAACAGCACCGCCCGGAGGAACCTGGGGTACCTGTCGTGCGGCACCGGGAACCCCATCGACGACTGCTGGCGCTGCGACTCCGACTGGCACAACAACCGGCAGCGCCTCGCCGACTGCGGCATCGGCTTCGGCCGCAACGCCATCGGCGGCCGCGACGGCAAGATCTACGTGGTCACCGACGCGGGCGACGACGACCCCGTGAACCCCAAGAAGGGCACGCTGCGCTACGCCGTCATCCAGGACGAGCCGCTGTGGATCATCTTCAAGCGCGACATGGTCATCACCCTCTCCCAGGAGCTCATCATGAACAGCTTCAAGACCATCGACGGCCGCGGCGCCAACGTGCACATCGCCAACGGCGCCTGCATCACCATCCAGTACGTCACCAACGTCATCATCCACGGCCTCCACATCCACGACTGCCGCCCCACCGGCAACGCCATGGTGCGCAGCTCGCCCAGCCACTACGGGTGGCGCACCATGGCCGACGGCGACGCCGTCTCCATCTTCGGCGCCAGCCACGTCTGGGTCGACCACTGCTCCCTCTCCAACTGCGCCGACGGCCTCGTCGACGCCATCATGGGCTCCACCGCCATCACTGTGTCCAACAACTACTTCACCCACCACAATGAGGTACTCCTCTACTACGGACGGGTGTACCACCGACATCCCAATCCTAGTCCTACTACAGAGATCCTACCACTCATGTCATGTGTTCCTCGTCCTGCCTCCAATTATTATTGCTAGTCGTTGTTAATTAATCATCTCCTAATCAAAGCCATTAGAATCTATCTAGTACAGGGTTTTGGCGTCTACCAGCAGAAGTGTAGTTTAGCATAGGTTCCATGTGAACTGTTGTTTCTTGTAGATCTAACGAGGAATTGTCGGTTGGCTGTAATGTGGATCTTGTGTTTTCTTTCTGTAGCATCTTGCATGCAAACGAGAGAGATTCTTTTGGTTTTGGAGTATGTGCCAACAGCACTGCTGCTTGGATCTTTCACTGATGGTCAATGAAACAATGTATGTGTATGCAGGTGATGCTGCTGGGTCACAGTGACTCCTACCTCAAGGACAAGGCAATGCAGGTCACCATAGCTTTCAACCATTTCGGGGAAGGGCTCATCCAGAGGATGCCAAGGTAATACATTCAGTAACTCAAGTGCAAACATAGATACTGAAGATTTTCCTCAATGTATGTTGATTGGTTTGCATGCCATTGTCCCTCCAGGTGCAGGCATGGTTACTTCCATGTGGTGAACAATGACTACACCCACTGGGAGATGTACGCCATCGGAGGGAGCGCCGAGCCGACCATCAACAGCCAGGGGAACCGCTACCTCGCCCCAACCAACCCTTTTGCCAAAGAGGTGTGCATATATCCATCCTTGTCATCACCAGCAAATGCAGCAATGCACTTCATTGGTTCAGTGAGATCATCAACATAATTTTCCTGACCGACTTTTGACATGAACAACAAACTGCAGGTGACAAAGAGAGTCGAGACCGCTCAGACCACCTGGAAGGCCTGGAACTGGAGATCAGAGGGTGATATGCTGCTGAACGGCGCTTTCTTCACCCCATCGGGGGCAGGCGCCTCAGCCAGCTACTCGCGCGCTTCCAGCCTCGGCGCCAAGTCCTCATCCATGGTCGCCACCATCACCTCTGGGGCGGGCGCCCTGTCGTGCCACAAGGGCTCTTCCTGCTAGCACAGCACAGCGCCTCGACAAGGACGACAACAACAGAAAAGACAACACCACCCCCAAGATATACTTACTAGAAGCTAAAAAAGAAGCTACCTGCCGGAACATGGATCACGGTTACAGTTTTTCTTTTCCCTTTGCCCTTCCTTTTTGACGATGGCTACATATATGTTGAAAAGTTTGCCATTCCGCTGTCAACCTCCCCCTGCATGCCTCTCGGCCGCTGTCAAGAAACGCCCCCGGAGCAGCAGGCGAGAAGCGTTGCTGATTGATTCGTTGGTCGCTCGGTGTCCTATTAGTCCCCTGAGTGTGTCTGTGTGTTGTGCCAGATGATGATGATGATGCTGGCTGTTTTGTTGTCAACTGAAAAACCGCTAGGATTGTTACGGCAACAAGTGTGTGTGTGTGTGTGCGTGTGCCTGGAAAATGGGCTGGCTGGTTAAAATGGTACTGCTACTACCGCTGTAAGATACTACTAGTGCTCCTGGATCTGGATGGCTTTTATCTGACTTGTCCGGTGGAAATTGAAACAAGGATTGATTAATATGTTGAGCATCTCTTTTGGTTTACCTCTGCTGTTTTTTTTTTTTTTGCTTAGCTGCATTATTTAGCAGGCTCGAATGACCTGAACATCTCTTGTTCTTGATGAATCATGATGCTGCTCTATCTAACAAACTTGTCATCGAGTTGGTTCTTCGACCCGTGCGCGATGGCGATGTGTGATCTGTGATACACTGTATGTTTCTGTGTTTTGTTACTGCTACTTCACATCCGTGTTTTCGGCACACTGAACTGTGACATTGCTCTTGCTGAACATGTATTGTGACATTTGCTCTTCCTGAATTGTGAATGCTGCTCTACATACCAAACTGAGGGAGGAGGGTTGGTAATGGTACGGAGGGGTCCACTCTCCTTGCTGTTCTTGTTCTGAACATCCATTGTTGTGCATGGATCATGATGCTGCCCTATCTAGCAAATTTGTCGAGTTGGCGAGATACAAATGTGTTGAACGGCACCGTCACCTCTGCTGTTGTGTTTCCGTCTGTCGTATGTGCTTGTGCTTGCACCTCCAATTCTCACTTGGTTTTCAGCACACCTGAATTCTCTTAACATTCATCGCGCTGGCATTGCTGTTCGTCAATAACGACGACGCTCCAACAGACCTGTGCATAAGCCGGCTCGGAACCGGCGGCCGGAATGAATGAACCCGGCGGAGAAGGGGGAGGACGGTTGGTACGGAGGGGGTGATACGGAATGGTCCTTGCAGCTCCTCTTGGGATGAAGGAAGAGATGAAATAAACCCCTTGTGGTTTTCAGCTTCCAAACTGCATGGACGGGGCGGAATGAATGCTGCACGTTCGCTGTGCGACTTAATGCTGCTGCGTGCATCGGCGGTCGACCGATGGGTCTCGATCTGGTCCCGATGCAAGCTTTGGGCTGAAGAAATGTGCATGCATGGGTCCAGTCCACACGGAGGGATTCAGACTGGGGAGACGAACTGAAGAAGCAGTTGTTACTACTACTTGTTGGGAGGGTGTTGATTGAGGTGAGTGAGATGCATGGGGCCTGTGGATGTCGACCTGACACGGCGAGAGGGAATGAATGGATCCAAACCAACATGTTCAGACAAGGAAACAGCAAACAGTAGGAGCTGGAGTGGAGTCTGCTTGGATCTAGACGAGATGGAATGGGAAATGGTGGTGCTTCCTCTGAATCGTCTTCCAACATGCAGTAAATTTGCACGTGTGTGCGCGCGCGCGCGTGAGGAGCAATCGCCGGGCTGGGTTAGGCACCGGCGGCATGCATGGGGTGGGGTGGCCGTGGAAGCGGAGGTGCAAGCGGTGCGTGTCTCCTCTCCGTCAAGGACGGCCGAGACCATTTGTGGCTGTCGGTGCAGTTATAAACTTCATCCATCGCCGCCGGCCGGCCGTCCTTTGTTCCCCTCTCCGTGTTAACTGACTTTGTGCTCCCAGTAGAACAATAACGGAGCCGATCGACCTCGATCGGTCATCGGTGCTATTATTATGACACGTAACAGTAAGTGTAGTTTTTGAATTATTATTCCCAAATTTTACTTTCTCCTCTATAAGACCTCCGAATCATTCAAATTGATGTCTGCGTCTCTGCATTTACATGGAAATGCAGACCCACCTGGTTTCAGTCGTACTACAAGCTAACCGAGCATCGTTGTAGTTGGGCCATCAGCTTTTGCATTCCAGTTCTGCAGGAATTTGATATCAATGTTCACATGAATTGCATCAGGGAATTACTGGTGTTAAGACTACAAGGCACTGTTCATGAGTATCAGAATCTGTTCAGTCAGTTAGTTTATCACAGGTTAAATTGTACTGTATGAAGGGGGGTGTAAGTGACACTGTGCTGGTAACACGGTTTATTCTGGGTTAATTTGAAGGAAGAGATCAGGGACTGCTATGATATTTCAACTACCTACCACAGTGGTTGTAGCTTCCGGGTATGCTCTTGTGCGGGAAGTTATGTTGGACAGAGTGAAATCTCAGTCTACCAAGGCAAGGAGGCCAGGATCTGCCAAGGGCACTGTACCAAGAGAAGAACCCTAGAATAAACATCAGTTATCTGCTGGAGATTTATGGAAAGCAAGGCATCTGGGAGGCTACATAACATAAATTGGGCTCTGTTATAGCTATGGTGACAAGTTCACTCCTCGCCGTGTTCCTGTGGCCAAGCAAAATGTTCAGGCTAAAGCAATTGAGTTGGCAGAAGAAGTTGCATCATATTTATGTGTCAATGCTCCGTCAGGAACTACTAACACCAAAACCATCGGGTTGAGAGCTCTGCTGGGAAACCATGAGATGTTACTGTTGGTGGACGCAGGGAGTTCTCATACATCCCTTCATCAGCAGCTTGCGGATAAGTTGCAATGCACCACCGGACAGTTACTAAGGCCCATGTCAGTGAAAGTTGCCAATGGGAATTTTCTTCAGTGTAAACAACAATTAAAGCATTAATTAAAGCATTAGTATGGTGGATTTCAGGGGCATACTTTTGCTACTGACATGAACATTCTCAGCTTAGGAGTTTATGATGCTATACTGGGGATGGACTGGCTTTCTCAATGGGGTCCCATGGTTTTTCACTGGGAGGAAAATGGATTCAGTTTGGATGCAAGGAGAAATTGTCATTCTACAAGGTTTACAGGAAACCTCAGCTACTAAATTACAAGAGTTAACTTTAAAGCAACTTGCTAAATTCCATAAAGGGAATGTCATTTGCGCTAAAACTGTTCTGTCTCCTAGTTCTGAAACTGAAAATTCTTCAGTACCGGAATGTATTCAGAAAACTCTTAAGCAATTTCAGCATATATTCCAAGAACCAAAATGACTCGCACCTCATAGAGAGTTTTACCATGCTATATCGTTACTTCCAAATAGTGCACCAGTTAGTTCCAGACTTTATAGGTACTCACCTCTTTAGAATGATGAGATGGAGAGACAAGTAGCTGAAATGATTGCAGCATGCATTGTCAAACCTAGCATGTCTCCTTATGCATTACCTGTTGTGTTGGTTAAAAAGAAGCATGGGACATGGATGATTTGGGTAGATTACAGAAGGCTTATTGCAGACTATGAAAAGCAAATTTCCTATGCCAGTAGTTGACGAACTTTTGGATGAACTAGTTGCTACAAAGTGGTTCTCTAAGTTGGATCTTAGAGCAGGTTATCATCAAATAAGGATGGTGGAAACGGATGAAAACAAAACTGCTTTCAAAACACATCCAGGGCAATATCAACTCAAGGTCATGCCTTTTAGACTTACCAATGCACCTGCAATATTTCAGTGCCTGATGAATGCAGTATTTGTAGGGAAATTCGAAAAATTTGTATTGATTTTTGTGGACGATATAGTGGCTTAGAACCAGGGCCGTCTCCAGGATTTCGGGGGCCCAGTGCGCAATGTTAAATGGGGCTCTTCATTTTTCCAAACATCATATAAGTAAAGAACTAATATAATCAAATCTTGCATCCATTTTATTGTATAGCTTCCAATATGTGTTAATTTCATACAAATATGGGTTATTTCATGCAATATTTAGAAATAGATCAAACATGTTTGAAAGCAGGAAAGGTAGCGCCAAATTAATAAACTAGACTCATGTGCTAAAATAATGATGTATGAGCACCTATCTTCATAAAACAGTTCTACCAATTCATGGGAAGTCAGAACCATGGGAGCATAAAGTCATTTATTAATTATTAATCTATCTAAAGTATAACGAAGAGTGTTACAGTTGATTAATTGTCAGTTATGCTACTGTTGTATTGCACATTGTTGAAAATAGAGACAATCAACAAAGGCTCACCAGAACACAAAAAGGTTAAAAAATGGTGGCATATAACACTGTCGCGTACTCACATGAAGAAAACAAATTCAGCAAAACAAGTCTATAATGCATGGATTAAGAGCAACTCCAATGGGGCGACCCATTTCGTCCGCGGCCGTCCGTTTGGGTCGGCGCGGACAGAAAAGGCGGCCCAACGCGCCGACCCAAACAGACGCGCGTCCATTTTTCGTCCGCGGGCGACCCATTCCCGACCCATTTTTTAGCCTGATTTGCGTCGGCGCGGACAGGCGACGGACGCACGCGCGCTCGCCTACTCCTGTCCCCGGGCCCGCTCGTCTGTGGCACATTGGCCTCCCCTCCCCCCCGGCCAACAAGCAACCGGTACATATGGTATCTCCTGTCCATGAATACCAAGACAAAGCAGGACATATGGTATTACTCTTCGGAGGTCCGAACCTGGGTAAACTGTGTGTGCAGACTCCATTCCGATACTTACGGTCTCGTCATGAACCCTTGATAACCCACAAGTATAAGGGATCGCAACAGTTTTCGAGGGTAGAATATTCAATCCAAATTTATTGATTCGACACAAGGGGAGCCAAAGAATATTCTCAAGTATTAGCAGCTGAGTTGTCAATTCAACCACACCTGGAAACTTAATATCTGCAATAAGGTATTTAGTAGC